ATCACGAGTAATTATATACTAATATAATAATTATATATTAATTTTCAGGTATTGCTAATACTTAAGTTTTACCGAGCGGTAGACAGAGAACCGCTTGAATTCGTGCTTGTTCGGTGGTATGAAGAAGAGGGCGAGCTGTGGGAATGCCCTAAATTAAAATTAATTAAGAATTACAGTTGCATTCCCATAGAAAGTATAGATAAAACCGTTCATATTGTTCCAAGAAATGATAAGACAAATGAATATTTAATGAACATTTACATGTTCTAATAAATTAAAGAGTTTATCGTTAATCGATTTAAACATCTGTGCTACAATGCAATATATAGAAGCATATCGATATGCATCAGATAACTTTATTTTCGATATAAATCAATAAATCGCATAGTAACACAGAAAATCATATCGCTATATATCGGTAAAAGATAAATATCGTTAAAAAGCGTAAATATCGATAACAATCGAAAACATAATAAATCGTTATATATTAAAATATCAATAAGTAACGCTAAATTTATGTTTGAAAATAAACAGTTACACACAAATATCGAAACATAACGGGATTATATTTATCGTATTGTATCGGATATCTGATATGAATCGATTTATAACAAAAGTAAGATATTTGATACATATCGATATATAACAAATATCGCTAAATATCGATATAAATAGATAATACAACTATCGATATATATCTATTACACGATTACTATCAATATAAATAAAATCGATATATATCGATGATTAGATATTTATCGATATATACCTATTACCAGTAAATATCGATTTTTGGTAATATATCGTTATATATCCTAAATTATCAATAAATGCCGTTTTTATCTTATTGATATACATCAATTTTTTGCTATATATCGATATGTATCTATAAAAATTTTCTAATGTCGTTTTATCACAAACTGAAATAAGCATATATGAGAGGACAACCAAGTGGGAACTAAAAATTTTAGCTTTATTTTTTGTTATTTATCCTTTTTTCTCATTTTTTTTAAAAACAAAATATTTTTTTATTTTAATTAGCCGGGACCATAAAAGCCATGGTTTAAATCTTTAATTTAATTTATTTTGATTTAATTTAAATTATTTTAATTTAAATTATTTTAATTTAAATTATTTAATTTGATTTTTAAATTAATTTATTTTAAATTATTTTTATTTTATATTTGCTAAATAACCACTAAATAGTGTATAGAGAGTTATTTTGAATTTCAGCCTAAATTAAACTTAGTTTAGGCTAAAATTCAGAACCACACCCATCACGTTATTTCGTAGTTATACAGTATTTTTTAATTTTTACTTTTTTATATGTTCATTTTTGTTATACGGTATTTTTTAATTTTTACTTTTTTTATATGTTCATTTTACCAGGGGACATCAAAGAGGAGGGGAAGGGGTGATGTTAACCAAAAAATTAACTTCGAATGGCCTTATGCTGGCTAAACCAACATATTAATATTTTATCTATATATGTTAATATAAAAAGAGATGTTTGTTAAACTAACATCTGGATATACTGACAATTTTTCTATGGCTAAAGAGTGTCAGTATAGCCAGAGTTATGTGTACAAACATATACACAAACACTAAAAGTTTTTTTTTATTAACACCTTAAACCCAAACACATATTGATTTGATTTCCAAATATCGCATACTTTAGTTTATTGTAGCCAACGTATAATCCAAATAGATATAATCATAGAATTTTCTTTTTTCATTTAATGCAATAAATTTAATATTTATTCTAGATTCCTGTTACTACAAGATTTTTGTACTTTCAGTTGATTTCTTCTAAATTTAACTTTATAATTATATCCAATTAACTTTGTATAATTTATTTCTTTTCTTGTTGTTTCAACATTTATAGTCATAAACATAATTGTCATATTCATCACTGCTTTAGTATTGATATCAGTTTTTACATTATTATTCATATTATTATTATTATTATTATTACCCATTTTTATTTTAAGATTGTCTTCTAATTCATCTTCATTATTAGGCATTTTATCAATATCTTCAATTAAATTTATTCTACCATTTACTTATGTCATTAAGTTTACATTATTCTTGATTACCTTACCTCATCATTATTCATATCCAAATTGTTATCTTTATCTTTTGTCAACAATTTTAGCAAATTTTTTATTATTACATTCATTTTCATAACTTTTTCAATAATGCCTCAATTACTACTACTAGTTCTTCTTGATAACAATGTTCATCTTCCATTATTTCATTAGCATTACTCATATTGGCAGATTTTTGACAATTAATGAATGTCTTATATTTATCTTTTTCAACTTTGGCTTCATGGGCCTTTATTATGCTAAAGATTTTTGCATCTTGAATTTTCCCATTCAGATTTGTATTCTTTTTTCTTTCTTTATAGTGGTTTCTTTTTAAATACATTTTTAGATTCTTTTTTTTATTATATTTTAGATTGTATTTATGATGGATATGATTAAGCCAAATGTCCTGAGTATCAATATATATAGTATAAACAAAGTCTATAATATTGTTGTTTAATTTACACCAGTTTTAATTTCTTCATGACTTGCACTATAACCACTTTTAACACAAATTCAACCAACATTACTAACTGATTTTCACCATCATACTCTTTCAACTTCACAACCCAAGTTATGTTTAATTTTTTTTTTTATAATGTTTTTTATTCATTACTAATAATGTCTTTAAAATTCAACTTTGTTGTAAAATGCCATTAACTTTTAACTCAATTACTGTTAAAGTATTTTATTTTACTAATCACAGCAAAGTTCACCAAATATAATCTTTTGAGCTTCTACAAATCAATTTCAAGCAAATAAGGCTGTTCAATACCAGGCCTTTCCTTGTTATATAGGTTTGTAGTTATAGAGTCTTTGGCTTATTTCTACTTAGACAGCATACTTAAAATACTTGCTTGTACTGGAACAATTTTAAACAATTTTGAAATTAAAATTACTCAAAATTTTATTAAGATAATCTATTTTAATTTTCTTATAAATGAGACCAGTACCTAAAAAAATACATAATTATATATTTTTTTAAATTACTTTAAAACTATTATAGTAAAACCTCTATAAGTACACCTTCTATAAGTGTATACTCTATCTAAATTCATACACAAATTTTGGCCAAATATATATAATTTTTATAAATACACTTTTCTTTATTGTTCTTTAAGTATATATTATTAAGTTCTAGTTTCAAGTATATGCACTTAGTAAGGTTTTACTATATTTGTATTTTAATAAAAAAAATTTCTTTTAAAATTTTAAGTTAAAAATTTTTTACTAAAGTATTTTATTATGATCTAACTTTTTCTTTAACTTTAAACTAATAAATTAATTTATTGTTTTAATTTTACATTATACTAGATCTATATAGTAAATTACTAAATTTTTTAAAAATTTTAAATTTTGACATCTTGCCTATACTTTATTAGGCTTTTTAATATATATTTTAAATATTAAAATTTTTTTATAAAGCCATTCTCTTTGATATCTAAGCTACAAATATTGGCTCACCCAGTTGTTCAATGAATATCTATATATAACCTGCTATAGTAAGATTTATTTCCATATTAATTTATACTGCAATTGGATTTGTTAATATTTTATCAAATAGTTTTTATAGCCTGTCAAGACTACTAGTTAATTTTCTACTATTCTGCCTATTGTACACCTTTAATCTAGCTTGAAACCTCATTTTTAGTTATGTTTAGAACAGCTTTTCATCTAATTTATTAGAAATTATTTATTAAAATTTTATTATAAATTAGAATGTTTAATAAAAATTATAAATTTTAATAAATATAACAATATTAGTATAATAAAAAATTGGTTTATTTTATAATAAAAAATTGGGTTACTTCCAAGTATTTTATAATAAAAAACATTAAGCTTGAATCTAATTAAAAAAAACTTTTAAAAAACTATACTTGTATTATAGTAATAAAATTTATCAATTATTAGTTGCTATTATCTATAAATTTAGTTAGAAAATTACTACATAACACCACTGGTGATCATCACCGGTCCTAATATTAGTTAGGGTTAGGGTTAGAAATTAGAGAATTATTGTTTTTTTTTATATAATATATATAACTACTATAAGGGCCCGATAGGGCCCGATCTTAGTTTTCGTGAGGTTTTTGGGGGTCCTGAACATTTTTACTTAGAGAACCTGATCCCGTTTACTTAGTATGTTTTTGAGATATAGCAATACCGGTGATGATCACCAGTGGTGATAAATAGCAAAATTCATTTAGTTATATTAATGTATTTTGTATACTAGAAGATTTTTAAAAAATTTATATAATTATACAAAAAATACAGCCTAGTATAATTAGTATAAATTTACAATAAATTTTAAAATTATTAAAAAAAAAACAAAAACTTTAAACCCTGTTTAGCAAATTATAAATAAAGAATTAAACTAACTAAAAAATTAAAAAATTGAATATATAACTTATAAAAATGTTATTTAAACAAACAACTAAAAATTGTATATGTAGTTGTACTTTTATCACTATAATAGTTTTGTACTATATATCTAAATATATATCAATAAAGCTTGCTAAAGAAAGTACTAGCTTTAGCAAAAAAAAAATTTAAGATAATAAAAATAATACTATTTATATAATTTACTATTTTTGCATTATATATACTTTGCATAATTAGACAAAAAAAATATAAAATTATATGCGTAGATTTTGATTAATTAATAGATACGTAATTTGATAAAGATAAATTTTTTAACCAATTTTTAAAAAATCTTGTAAGCTATTAAAATTATATAACTGCAAATTTATATATAAAATTGCATAATTTACATGGCAAAAAAATTCTGGTCATGTGCTACGTATAAACAGATAATCAAATATTGAAGATCTTAAAAAAAATTTTGAATTCTAATAAATATTTCTCATTAATAACAGAATTGAATTCAGTAAAATCTTTTTATTTTAATTCTATACTTTGTAGAATCAAATAAAAAAAGTTATATCAAATTTGTATAGACGGTTGTTGAGAAATCTTCACTAAATCATTATGCCCTTGAATAATTACTTTCTTTAGAGCCATGTTCTGTAGCAGTATAGGCATTAATAACCAAGGCGAAATGGATCTATTGAACACAAATAAAATAATTAGCTACGTATTAAAGTGATCAAATACGAATACATTATACAAAACATACCGAGATAATAATATCCACGGCATTTGCAAGAACCCATGTTATTACATCATGATTAAAAAAGAGAACAATGGCAACTGTTCCACATATATCCAATAAAACTGCAATGGCTACAATGGTACTGAATAATATAGAGTAAATCCTTATAAGACGTGCCCTTTTCTTGAATAATACAAAAAATTTAGTAAAGCTTCATAGTAAAGAATTACTATAAATATGAGGATACATGTCATTCGCTTGCGTTGTTTTACCGACAATCAGTTCAGCTCATAATCAGTATTACCATAGCTTTTCTATATTTATTATATCATTATATCATTATATTAAGGGAATAATAAATAAAACTTTTTTTGACGAAATGATTGCAGTTAAAAAGAATAGTTATATCAGTGGATAAACAAGACTATCTTATTACCAAACATACATATTTTCGATAAAACAACGCATTGGCTAAGTGAAGTAATTGATACTCAAAATATAGATACATACTGGATCAAAGATAGTAATAAGCCCGAAAATAGTTACTAAAAAGACTAAGATAGCAAAACCTAAATACACGTAAATTACGTATATTCCATTATTATAATCTAAACAAATGAATTAGCAAAATTAGAAAAAATATAATGTAAACTAGTAAATAACTAGTAAATAATACTTGCAGTCACTTTCGTCTTTAATAATTGATATATAATTAACAATGCCAACTATTGATTCAAACTAAAGAAAGAAAGAAATTAATAAAAAAAAAACAATATTAATTAGCATATAGTAAATTTAATTTAAAATATCTATTTGTATTAAAAAATAACTCACTAGCCAGAAAATTGTTATAATGATAACACCTGCTTTCAAGGGGACACAACAGCAACATTTAGTAGGTTTGAAAATTGATTCCATCTTGATTATTTAACTGAACAAATTCTAGTGAATTTATTAATATCTTTATAAACAAATTTATTATAGATTAAATGTAGCCATTTACAAGACTAATAATATTGCCAAGCTTATAATTTCTGGTGAATAATAATATACATACCTCTGGTTAAATTGACTCTTTCCAACAATAATGAAAGATGTCAGTTTAATCAAAGAAATTTTAATATTTAGCATATAGAACAGTCTGTTTATCTAGATATTGCAATAAACAGAGGCATGAATATATAAAAATTCACCTTTTCTTTCAGAAAAGTCATTATTAAATGGTTAAGACGTTAAAATTTTATTATGATCTTGTCAAAGTTAAGCCCTTAACATTTGTATAAGGCTGTGCACAAATTGATCGAGGCTTGCATAATAACACGTAGTCGTTGACTGGCAGAAGATAATTAATTGTATTAGACGTACTTTTTTTATAAAATATAAATATACGAAAGTTCGAAGCAATTAAACGAAATTTAAAGTCCAAACACAAAGAGAAAATTTCAGGCGATAAAATAATAAAAGATAATGAAAGATAAAGATTCTGACAAAGATAAAGCTTTATCAAACTAAAAGCCTTTTAAAAAAAGTCAGCCTCTAACGAAAGATAAAAACAAATACTTATAAAGGCTAAGCCCCGCTTAACATACATTACGTGTAAATTTGGCTTCGAGTATGAGAATCATATACAAAAACTTCATCTTAAATCCATAATAAAATGTCTAAATCATCAAGTTTTTTTTTTTTGTGTGAATTTTTCCCAGGAATTTAATTTTAACTAGCAGTTGAAAATAACCACATCGAAAATGACGTAAGAAGTCACATGCAGAGAATTGAGATTTTTTAATATACTGCGCAGATTACAATAATAAATAAGTTTGTCTTTTTTCTAATATAAGCCATAAAATGAAATTTTTTTTAAGAAGATGGCAAAGTCTGAGTAAAAGTCGATTTTAATAGTGTCGCGACCTAAAATCTCGTCTTTAATAAATTTAAGCTAGTTTTATACAGTTGGAGTGATAACAAAAAGGCTTTAATGTGGATAACAGCTTTTAGAAAGTGTACTATCATATAAACCAAAATGCGAACGTAAGTAATGTAATTTGAAGAAATAAGGCTCGTAAAAACTTATTTCGATATTATAATGTTATTTTGCTATACACGATTAATTTATTATTGTACAGTATATACTGTATGTAATTTAGTTGCTTTCATATACTGTATGTAATTTAGTTGCTTTCATTTATTGATTTCATTTAGTGGTGAAATATGTGATTTGCAATAAGAAAATCAAAGAAGTAAAAATTTTCATTATATGAGTGACGCCAAGGAAAAATGGGACATTGGTTTATCATTGATTATTTAAATAAATAATTAACGATAAACTGATAACCCATAAAAAATTTATTTAATATTATAAATTTATACATGATTTTACATCTTATTTTTTCCCAGAATCATTTTGAACAGTTTGAACGTTTTGTACCGGAGTAACTTTATCTCTATTTTTACAATATGTAGCGTAAGAATTGATAACAAATGCAAAATAGATCTATAATGGATAAACATACGTATTAATTAATTATTTAGTATTATATATTTACAATAAATAAAAATTACATTAAGCATACCGAAATAATAGTTCCCAAGGCATAACTAATGATCCACGGAGCAGCAAAAGTTCTAAATTCAGAACTACAATTACTTGAGTCGGTACTATTTCCATTAGATTTTAATGCATCAATACAAGTTGATATGTAGGTCCCTTGATATGAAGCAACAAAAAAGCATATATATACAATATGAGCAATTTGAAGAATTACAAGAAGTGCAAAAAGTACAGCATAGATCCTTATAATATTCGACGATTTCTTATAAATTACATAAAAAAGTTATTAAATTTCCTAAGGTTAAACCGTGAAAACATACATAATACTGTAATACTGTAATACTGTAATACATACCGCACAACAAGTAACCAAAAGCCCAAATGTAGATACCAAAAAAGATATAACACTGGCGGCTAAATCCACCAAAAAATATTTATTGTCATACACTAAGAAAGTAACAATATTAGTATGAAATGAGAAAAAAAAGAAATATATGTAATTTTAATGAATTGTTATTTACATTGGTTCTGACGTTTCAAGGCTGTTACATCCGCAATAGTGCTAGATATTGATCCAATCTAAAAAAAAAAAGTAATAATCTATGTTATCACAAATAAATATATACGCTCGTATTGCTATATTAAAGGTAACTTGCCAGCCATAAAATTGAAATAAGAATGACACCAAATTTCAAGGGAATGCAACAACAACATTTTCCAGATGACATCTTATAAAATTAAGAAATTGGTTTTCTTATTAATATCAAAATTAGATGTTGGTCTATCTTACTAATATCAAAATTAGACGTTGGTCTATCTTATTAATAACAAAATTAGACGTTGGTCTATTTATTTAAAGTCAATAATAGTGCGAACCATATTTCAGACAATAATGGCAAAATGTTTCGTTGTACAATATAATAATTTAATTCCTCTATTAGAAAAATCATTGAGGTAATTAATTTAGTTAGTGGCGTTGGTATTAAATTCTTGTATAAGTCATAATTAGGCTCCTAGATTTTTTTTATTCCTTGTAGGAGCATGTTAGTATGAGCTATGTACATGTTATATAACATGAGGCTGGTGAGTTTTAAAGGAATATGTTTTCTTATAAAATTTATACGTATTTGCCCATCTTTTTAATAGACGAAAATCCTGGATTTCGTTAATAAAGTCTCTGTTGTCTCTGTTGTCATTGATACTCGAATATTGCCTAAAGCATGCAACAAGTACGAGAAAAGCTTTATCGTTATAGCATAATCCAAAACGGCCATTGAGCTAAAAAATTTGTAACGTTCTCCAAATCTATAATTATGCTACGTATAATGATAACATATAAATTAAATACAGGCTATCGCTATCTTAATTGCGTAGTATTGATGATCATAATGAGTGATTTATTTAGTACAGGATTTTTTATAGTAAATACACCACCTGATTTACATCAAGTATCTGCACTATTGTGTGACCGGCTCAAGTAATAATCAAGAATTTTTGGGACATGCGTTAGGTCATGGTACCTTTTTTTTTAATACGAGCTTCAAAATTTTATCCATTTTTATAAACCAGTAATGTCATAGCGATAGCTAAAGACAATCATAAAGTCTTATGCAAAAAAAAAAAAAAAAATTAATAAAATGAGAATAGTAAACTACAATCACTGTAAACTTCAGTCATATATAGTCACGATAAAATTACCTGTCAAGGCAGTAATATAAATTTGATAGAAATATTAAATTTTAAATTTAACGTAAATGTAATTTTATGTAGATATACTGTACAGTACGTATATTGCAACTCAAATTGGTAATAATATAAACTCCAGTTAGAAAATATTAACTTGAGTTATATCGAGTTAACTCGAGTCAAAGTCCAAGCACTATATATATATATATATTTATTTATTTATTTATAATTTTTTTTGATTACATTATTTTAACACTTATTAAATTTCTAACGCTAATAAGGTTGATAAAGAGTGCCATTTATTTATTTGCATTGTGGTATTGTTAAATAAATTTTTATTCTTTTGAGTAAAAAATTTACTTGTTTAATTATGCTACATTATTTTCTATTGAGAATGCGATAATAAAAAATATATATTTATATAGTTGAAAAATTTTGCTAAAAGGAATATTCTTGCAAGTTATATTAGTTGCTTGGTACGAAAGTATTAGAATAGAATTTGTCTCGAGTCGAACACGAATCATAATTCGATGAATAGGTTGATTGCGTTTTCATGATTTATTTATTATGTGATTTGTTATGCAAAATTGTAGTAATCACTTGCAGTATTTTCGATTTGTAAGTTTTAGTAAATACGTATTAAAGTGGATTGTTTTTTTTTTTTCAGGCAAAGAAATTTCTATTTTTTTTTTATTTCTCCTACCCCGACTTTGGTTTTTTTCGTCCCACCCTGACCCAACCTTCGGATACGGGCTGAAAGTAGTGATGCGATCCAAAAATTTATAATCTAAAATCTGATCCATTGTTAACGAATACAGTAATCCGTTTGATCATACGGATCTGTCGCATTCATATAATTAAAGGTTTATGCGCGTGATAACAAAAACGTGACTTGAAACAGGTTTCGTGATCAGGTTTAGAAACTTTAAGGGACAACAATAAAAGATGCTTAAAATGGTATTTAAATAACGAAAAAAAAAGATCGGGTTTAAAAACATACGTAATAGCATTCCTAGTACACCGTACACAAACTAACGAAAAATACGTAATAAAGTTGTTTTAGAGAAAGGCATTAATTTTTATACATAATTTAAAAGGTTCAAGTTATAAATCCGGTTTACAATACATAAAATAATTAGAATAAGTTCGGATTTTTGCTTATGACGAACTTTAAAACAAACTTCCGAATATAACAAACAAACTTTAATAATTTAATATTAGCTTGTTAAATACGAAATACAAATATAATACGATCCAGTCTCTAATGCTAATAACGGATATCATTTTTATGTTTGAATCCGTGTTGGACCGGATAACTGCTATTCGAATCACATCACTAGCCTAGATCTTGGCATAAACCTGTATTATCCAGAATAAATCGAGGTTGTCTGTATAAAGTCTTACGTGTTAGTGTAGCAACTTAAATAGTCTAACCGATATAAAATTGTACTCTTTGAGCTTAAACGCCTCGTTAGGGTGCGGACTAAACTAATTCGGATTTATTAATATTTCGATATCATTGTTAGTCGATTTTGTTAACTATATAATTAAAAAAAATAATTACAAACCTAAATTTACATTTATTAGCATAAGTATCTAATGAAAGTGTATATAATTTTTTTTTTTTAACTTGAAGCTCTCAATTAGCTCTACGTGGTAATAGAGCTAATAGAGCTACTTTTTCAATAATTTATTAAACCAGTTCAATAATTACATAAATATTAAATATTAATTATTTAATTAATTTTTTAAAAATTTTATTTAAAAAATAGCTCAATTACCATGTAAAGCTAGTTGAGAGCTTCAAGTTAAAAAAAAAAAAAATTATATACACTTTTGTTAAATACTTGTGCTAAAAACTGTAAATTTAATTTAATATTTATTAAATATACGGTCTATAAAAAATCCGAAATTAATGATCTTCATATATTACCCTAACTAATGACGCCTCGTTATTGACAATTAGACGAATACCCTTCTTTCTCGAAGGAAAATTCCTATTATGTCTACGGCTTAGAGCTGAGCTCGGCAACGGAAATCAAAAATCTCTTCATGGGACGTAACACCAAATTCAACGCACTTGTAAAAAACGTAATATGTAGAAATATGCCACTTATATATATATATATAGCATTGTTTTTAATTTAAAAGTGCAATGTTAGTTTTTGACTGACTAATTCAACTAGCAATACTACTTGAACATTTAAGACCATACCTTAAAGCAGAAGTCATTGAATATTGACAATTTATATAGACAACCTTTTAAATTATTGATCCTATCATTATAAGGATTTCTTAACCTCCAACAAACATAATGGGTTTAGCAAATAAAGTTACCAAATGTTGTTGTTGCATTCCTTTGAGAGGAGGGGTTATCACCATAACAATTCTATCTATGGTAAATAATTTATAAAATAAATGTATACTTTTTTGATAGAAATAATTTATAAATATTCTAATTAGATGTTCTATATAATTTTAAATACGTACTTAGATTTGGTTAGCGTATGCTGTTTCCATCGATGTATTAGCGATCGTAAACGGCACTGGCATGTATTATTTGTTTATTTTTTATATTTTCTTTTACTAGTTACTAATATCATTAATATATTTCTATAGATCGTGGTGCATTAATTATAGCCTTAGTCGTAAATTCTATATTTCTTCTTGTTTTTATTTCTGGGCTTATCATTGCTTGTTTTATGGTATATACTACAATATTTGATGATATTTTGTCATTGATCGTTATAATTATGGCTCTGGTTGCTAATAAATTTACTAATATTTTTTATTTTTATTATATAAGAAAAAAGCAAACCTCTTAAGGACTTATTCTATCCTTTATAATATTTTTGTGGGTCTTGTAATTTTCCATACTGTAGCTGAAATTATTTCTATGTTTATAAGTAAAAACACAATTGTAAACGATTGTATTAGTGGAGGTCAATCTAGTGGATCTCCTAGCAGTAATTCAGCGGGTGATTGTGAAAAGAGTTTTTGGATAATTGCAATCATAATTAGCAGTATTAATATCTTAATTATTTTTATGGTGGTATGTTTACTGTAATATATTTATATTTTTGCTTACTTTTGAATAATATGTTTTTATTAATTAATTATTTTGTACTTTATAGATTCATTTTGCCTTGGTTGTTGCATCCTACGCTGCAAGCCGTAAAGAAAAAGAAATGAAATCTTCTCATTTAACACATGAATTCTCTGAAAACAATGTTTCTTATGAAGCTTCGGCGTATGGTGTTAAAGAAAAATATTAAAGTTTTTTTTTTTCTCACTACATTTGTATTTTTTTTTTATAAATTATAAATAAGAATATAAGAATTTTAAAAATTTTTCCTATTTATACTAAATATTACCGTCACTCATTTAACACTTGATTGGACTCGAATAAACATTAATTACGGCTAGTGCTCCGAAAAGTCCCGGGTACCCGACCCCAGAACATAAAATTACACACGACCCAAGTGATAAAAGTATAATGTGTGCATGAAAATTACAGTTTAAATAAAAAATTTGCCTAGAGATTGAGCTATAATAAATTACCGGATAACCGGATAATTTTAATAATACACGAGCGGAGATTTTCAAACCCGAGTTTGTTCGAACAAATACGGGTTCAACCCCAAACCCGACCCGAATGACTCTTTCGGAGCACTAATTACGGCAATACATATTATGAAAACTCAGGTATAACGTGAAATTTAAGAAAAAAAAATAGTTTAATTTTTTAAAAATCGCATAAAATCTTAGACATGGTTTAAAATTAGATACTGCTACTTTAAATTTTGGGAAATTACACGTCGGAACCTAAAATTTGAAACCAATTAAGAATGAAGGCCCAACTTAAAAATAAAGAATTTTTTGAAAATATTACAAGTACGGGCCCTAATGTAATCACGGGATCGTTGCGCCATAATATTGCAACGATCACTCACCACACTCCATAACCACATGAAATTGTTATCAATTTTTATTCAAAGAAATAAACATTTATATAGTTTTTTTTTTAAGAAATATGTAAACAGAATAATAATTATACAATTTAATTTTAAAAAAGTTCGTTACATTAAATTAACGAAACATTTCAATGTAATTTTAGATGTATAGCATAAATGCAGTGTTTATATAAATGCAATTTTCCATTAAGCATTGTAAATTAGTTTTTCTTTCTGCCTGCGTCCTCGATTACAAGTTCGCATATTATGGTCGTTTCTCCACGGCTACGTAAATGGGTTTTTGTGGCCGCCCTGCTTGCTTTATAGCGGTCGTTGGTAAAATTTCATCATCAGGAAAACAAGTTTCAGCATCAATAGGTCAGGATGATTCTTTGTAGACATTTTGCAGAGTAATAGTGTGGTATGTGATATCAGTGAATTCTGATAAGAGGTGGGTTGGGTTTAATGCGTGCGCATGATTCCTTAATCGTGCGCATTAATGACAAGATAAGCATAGTAAAAACCTTGACTTATTTTATAAAAAAAAAGAAAAAAATTAGATTAGAAAGAGTTGAAGGAAACTATTTATATGAAAATAAGAAAAGCAAAACCTAATCTTAATTAAAAAGCCCTAGCTGTCCCACAAAAAAATTCTCCACCCTGTGATTTCGACCAATAAAAATTCAGGATCAGGTGTAACGTAAAAATCGAAGGAACCCACTTTTTTTACAAAAAAAACAAAAATAGCTTTAAATTTTAATCATGAAACAACCTTCTACGGCCTAATTAAAAATGTTCCTCGTGAAATTTTACTAATAAAACAACCCAAACCCATACCCTATGCTGTTCTCACCCAAACCCTAACTATAACGCGGCTTTAATTTTATACGCAAAACAAACCGCGTTTGTTTTGACCATCACATTACACCTGATCCTGAATTTTTATTGGTTGAAATCACAGGGGTGGAGAATTTTTTGTGGGACAGCTACCTACGTTTCTTAATTATGCAAGACTAGTATATAACGAAGACCTTTTATAAAAAAAGTTAGGATTAGTAAAAGATAGAGGTATTATCTGGGTTAGTTGATCTGTATAGGTCACTAGAACTGACAGGTCATGGGTCAAAAATTAATTTAATCTAGATCAAATTGGTTAGGATTTAAAATAAACAAAATTTATTAAAATAATAATTTAATGTGTATTATATATTGTATCTATATTAAAGATATTATCTGGGTTAGTTAACCCATATAAGTTACCCAACCCAACAGGTTATGGGTCAAAAATTAATCTAACCCAAGTTAAATAGGTTAGGATTTAAACTAGACAAAATTTACTAAAATAGTATTTTAATGTATATTATATATTATATTTATATAATTATATTAAAAGATTACAATTTTACTAAAGCTCTTATCAAGACAATATACTGACAGTATGGAGCAGTTTCTGATAGATTATGAGTTATAAATTGGATCAAGTAGTATAGATAAGTGCATCCTTTATAAGTACACTTTACATACATTTTCTTTTATAAGTGTATTTCATATACACTTCTTTCTATAAGTGTATATTATTTGATTTGTCTAATATAATATATAGTATAAAAAATTCAATGTATACATGTGAAATTGCATAAAAATTTATTTTCTTATTTTAATATAAAGAAAGCATTTAATTATATAAGTGTATATGTTGTGCGTCAGATCGATTCTTGCATCAGATTGCATCTGACACACATCAGATGACTATCAGTTGACCAGCATTAAATGATCGGCAATAATTGGCCTAAAAAAACTCCTAACTTTACCCGAAATTTTACCCTAACCCTAAATCTAACTTAGGCCGGGTGTCATCTGACGCAAGAATCGATCGTAGTCGACTAAGTCGATTTTTTGAAAGATCGATTTTATTGACTGCAACTTTAATTTTGGTAGATTTAATTTAACCCCACTATGACCTTTCACCTTTACGAAGCTAATATATTAATTCATCCTGTTATTATTATCAACTTGCCTCCCGTAATAACGGCTGTTCTTTAACGATACTTATAATGGAAACACACTCCTCCGAAAAAAAACAGCCCGCATGCATTTCGAACAAGTCTGCAAAACACAAGTCATCGGAAAATATTAAAAAGCTTAAAGAACGGATCATTCAAACCAATCAGTTGCTAAACCTTTTTAAAACGAAAGAAAAAGGTTATAGCTTTTTCTTTGTCTTGTGCTTGCAAGTTCATTTGATGTATCTTTTTGACTTTCGTTTTGAACACCGCCTCTTCAGAACTTGCACAATACAAAGAAAGTATTGCATTGCTTGAACAAAATCAAACAAAATCAAAAGCACAGTTAGCATTACTAAACAAAGAAATTGAAGTTTTTCGTAAAGCCGCCCAGCAATTTCGCACTGAAGCTGAAAATTTAAAGCAAGAATTGGATCAAAAAGATATTCAATTAAAAGATCATTCTACGATGACAATTGAAATTAAACGGCTTCGATCCGAAAATGACAAATTAGGAAAACGAGTAAAATCACTTGAAGTAAGAGTCCGTTATGTTTTTTTTGCATGGAAATTAAAGTAAAGTTTGGTTAGCTATATGAGATAACTATTTAATTTTTAGATCCTAAAGGACCAATTGGAATTTAAAGTACAAGAAAGTGATGCTACGAACGATATGCGAGAAAATCAAAAAAAAGAAATTTCCCGATTGAAAAAAGAACTTGAAAAGAAGTAAGCTTCTCATAAATTTTTTTGAATATACTAATCTACAAGAAAGGAATAGCTTTTATCAAATATTGCAAAAAACCGATATTTGACATATTACTATATATTTCAATGGCAAATTTACACTATTTATATTATTTATAAAGTAATTTGATATTCAGTTTATCTTGCGGTGCTAATATTGCACAACCACTATACTCCGTCGGGCCCCTAGTATTGCACTATTTCTAGGTGACCTTTGAAATATCTTAAAAAAATTTAAGGGTTAATACATTGAGTTTTTTTTTCTTTGTCTCGGATAACTAATCTTAAAATTTTTATAATGATACAGAGACGAGTTATGCAAAAAAAGTCAATCCGCAAAAGAAATATTAGATACAAAAGTTAAAAAACTTCAAAAAGAAGTTGATAATTTAAATGAGCTATTGCTCGAATATAAATCTGAAACAAATACATTAAGAGATGAAAAAAATGAAAAAGACACAATTATCGAATCTTTAAATCAGCAATTGGAAGATTTAAGTCACCAAGCAACAAATGTTGATGAATTGAACCAAGATATTAATGAACTCAAAATCCAAATACAGGCGGCTCATGATGAAAATATAAAAAAACAACGAGAATGTAGTCAGCATTCCAAAGCACTGTGCAAGCTCAAAAGACAAAACACAAGCATTGAAGAGCTGAAGCGTGAAAATCTTGATCTTCAAAATAAACTACAAGAAGCTCACAAACAAATATCAAACATGTGTAATGAAAATAACAGGTCTGGAAATGCCATACACGAAGAAAGTAATACCAGTCAACATGTTATTGTGCTGGTAAAAGAAATACGATCTTTGAAAGATGACATCAAAAAATTAGAAATACAAAAGGTAATTTTCAATCATAATTGCTGACATTTAAATAGATTAATTATTAATTTTATCAATTTATGTCTATCTATAGAGGGCTTTACAAGATCTCGTAACATCACAGCAAGTTGAAATTTTACAGCTACAAACGTCAAGAAAATCAGATGCATTTGCACGCGTCAATGTAAGTTAACTCATGAATTATTTTTTTAAATAGTGAATTTTGATTATTGATGGAAAACCTTGCCTCATCGAAATCAGGCCATAGAGGCACTGTATAGTAAACCAGCTAGTGCAATATTACAAGATCAATCATTTCAAACGTCTTCTGTTTGTGATGCAACTGTGTCTCCTATCACCGATAATACGGAAATTGGTTCGAATTCTTCAACAGTTGCGGATGCCGAAAATTTAATATCGCAAGTAAAAGAAATAAATCGAACAATCGTCCCACAAAGAAAAGTAAGCCAAATAAAAAAGAAATCTATTGATCAGCCTTCAGCAAAAACAAAATTAATTGAAGAAAAAAATCAAGGAAGAAAAAGAAAGAGCCTTGACAAAACTATATCATCCTCACCAAATATGAATCCTAAAATCAAGACAGATTCATTAAAAAGGAGAAAAACTATTATTAAGCCTAGGACTAAACTGAAAGTGACTGAAATATTAAGTCATATTGACGATTTGGCTTGTAAGTAATTAAAGTTTTTGTAATTTTGATATGATTATTCGTAATAAGTAGTAACTTTCGTAAACAGTCATAAAGGAAAAATTATTTGATTTTGGATGTCCTTCTCAAGAAGCGATTCGGTCGATTGACGTGTTTCGTCAATTTGCATTTGAGAAAAGTCCTGTTCTTTTTCAAGCAGTTGATGAGTTGCTCCATTACATAGATACACCTTTGTATCTAGGTGATATTTATAATAACGACCAACTGAAAATTTATACACGAGCAAATTCTCTTTCCATACAACTACCTGCAGTATTGCCTTCAAAAGAAACAAACGTAATACTGTTTTTATGGCTTCTATTTGTCGAGTTTCCATCGGTAATTATTCCAAAAACTTTTTATAATATATTGATCGTTATTATTTCTCTAAAAAATCATTATAAATTTATTAATGTGATAGAGTAAATTGATCGATAAGATGTTGCTTTGGACTAATGAAAAAATCATGGTCGCAGGAATTTTAGGAGAACCACTTGATTTGGCGTATTTATGGTAAATAAGAAAAAATTTCCTTTATCAATTATGCTAATATGCATGTTAATAAAATTTACATTTTCTTCAGCCGTCTATATCGTATATTCATTGCATTTTGCAGAATTATTAATGATATTCAGCGAGCTCGCACATTATGTTATGATATCATGCGCGAAAAAACAAATAATGACTCAATTCATTATTTCATGGAAAATACTGCTAGAATATGGCCAAATGTTCTTATGGTCTCGATTAATAATAGGAAACTAGAATCTTTCAAAATAGGTTTGTACTTTAGGCACATTGTTGTTTAATTAGATAAATTGTTAATGTTCATACTTTTACTCCTACTCTGTACTTTTAATTGTTTAGATGAGTCATTTGTGATACGTACTATAGAGAGTATTATTGCTGGGATAGTTCTTGAGAAGATGCACGATGAATCGGTATATACATGATTTTAAATATTGCTAATTTTTGTGAATTGTACTTATAAGGTCAAAATCTAGGTCTATAAACTTTACAATACCTTTGTTCGGCTCTGCTCTTGGGATGAACCGCACCAAGCTCCATTTTTGAAAGAAATTTTACAATATTTAGCAGAAATTTTGAACTCTGAAGAATTTCATAATAAATGCTGTAACGAATATGATCAAGGTAGGTAGTCCGACCCCATATTGTTAGTTGGAAGATTTGTTTGTTTTCTATTTATATAACATGTTCTTTAGAAAAATTTCAGGAATACCGTTTCAATCTTGTAAAGTCTTTTGAGTTAGCTGCTTGTTGGTGGTGCTGGGATGATGTGCATTCAAGATATGTTTCAAAAATTTTATGGCCATTGGTAAAGAATGAAAAAGGAAAGGATATTCCGTTGGAGATTATTGGTGCAGTTTGCCGTCCACGATTGTTTGAACAAACAGAAAAGGAGGGTGTAGCCGAAATTAGGCGGCGAATGAAAAGTGCGCTGAACCCACATAGCCCTGGTAAGTGTTGTATTTTTTTACACTCTTATGAGCATTACCGCAGACACTTAATACATTCAACCTTTTGTAGTGTCTTTTTTATTACAAGTCCAGTCTGCACAAGTATTGATTAAGCTCGCTAACGGTGATCCAAGGCATTATCGTGATATCCTATCTTGGTATCTGCGATTGGAAAATGACAAAGTGCAAAGGTTACCACGATTATTTATTAATGATTTGGAATATATGCGATCTTTTTCATAACGCATATCCGTGACCCTCGTCCTAAAGTTAAAATATTTAATTACCATGCAAAAATGTTTAACATAATTAAAATGCAACAATAACAGAATAATTTTTTTAACACCTATAAAAGAGACCTGGTTTAAAATTAGATGTTTTTTTTCTAGATTTCTAGAATTTTTATTTTTTATCGGATTTTTTACCGGGCTTAGTGATTGGACCTACTACCGCATCCACTTATTTGCGCCGGTAATACAAACCTCTAAAAGGGAAATGGCCAATCAGAGAACACGTGTGAAAGAAGAAAAAAAGCAAAGAAAGCGAAAAAAACTAGAACTAGTGTTTAAATTGACCTTTGTGGACTAATAAAAAATAATGGGGATGAAATTTACATAAGAAACACCAACTTATCGCCAAAACTCAACTAATGTTTGTAGTCGACCATTATTTATCAGTCGATATTTAAAAATCGGCTTAGCCGGCTAAGTCAGAGTCGATTATTCGAAGTTCTATTTGATTAAACTTCGGAAGTTATCGGCGGAGATTTCCTCAAATTTTTTGTCCCAACCTTGCTCGAATTTTATGTTCGTTGATTTTCTTTTCGGAAATTTTCGGATTCTAATATAATCCGGCCTAAATTTTTAATATGACATAACATACAGGTAGGAACGTCCCAAATAAGGAAACCGTTTTTGACTCAGGACCGACGATCATGCGTTTTAGTTAGCCAATCAAAATTGTGAATTATAAATATTAATTCAATATATTATAATTATTAATAATAAATTTACAAAAACCACAGAATATTTCTAATAAAGTAATTTATAATAAATAATTTAAGTAACCCCGATTACTATACGTATTAAGATCACGGGAGGATTTATTACCAATTCATGCATAATTTATTATTTAATAAAAATATTTAATAAAAATATATATTATTTATTTATTATTTATTTAAAAAAATATATATTGTAAAAAAAAAATCTACATTATAATTTGAAAAGGTTTTTTTTTGCTTGATCTAACAAATTATCCATCGTTGCTATATCACCCGTCGCATCTTCAGCATCAGAATTATCTTCGTCTGCACTTCCAACATTTTCATCCATAAATTCCTTTTCGCCTAAATCTTTCATCATACTTACTTTTATTGCTTCAACATTACTCTTGATTGCGTCCTGTAGATAGTCTAAACATATTAAACACTTAAAGTTACATTTTTGTAAGCAATGGCTATGATATCCATGCCCACACGCGAGAACGTTACCATCATTTGAACAGTTAGTATAGTTAGTACAATCGCAATACAAATAATCGCATAAAACATTAATAAATAGTTTTCTAGAGGTAACGAAACCTCTTGGAAGATGGCGATCAGTTATTTCATAATCTAACGATGGTAGCTTATAAGAGTTAATATTATCATCGGACGAATTAATAGTTAAAGGATACAAATAACGCGCTTTGTAGATCTTCGTAAAAACTTCTAAAAGCAACACAGCACATTTTTGGGATAGTATGTGCAACTGTTTCGGCTTATACAGATACTTCATGAAATTCACGAAATATTGACAGAAAGTATTATTGTCCTGATGCTGAAATATAAAACGTGTCTCCTTCTGCAATTGACTTGCTGTGAAAAACTTGGCCATACGTCGTCAAATTATACTATGGACAGTTTCTACAGGACAATCGCTTAGAGATGCAAGATGATTAGTAACTAGATTCATCATTGGATGATTAGTATCCATTCAAAAAAAAATGTCAGAAAAAAACATCAAAGGGGAACACTTATAATTTCTTCGATCAAATCGAAGAAATAAATCGCACCAACAATGCATACAAGCTTCTTCGTATGCCTGCCAGTTTCCTTCTCGATGATGAACCGCGTAAACGTCAAAAACTAAAGGAATTAGGTTATTTAAAAGATCAGTTAGATATAAAAATTCTAAATTTTTGCAAGTGTGGCAAAATTTTGAATAAATAACATTAGATATATCAAGCCACGCAACGTGCATAAGATAGAGAATTAAATCGATTCTCCAAGGGCGAGGTTTTTTACCAAGATTCTTTTTTTTACCAAAAATTCCTTTGTAAATATCATTAAAAAGAAACGAATTTTTCTTGTAAACGAGTTCACGACTATTCAAAGACACGTGGAGAGGACCCATAATAGGCACAAACGATGCAACGAATGGAGGAACGACTTCATTGTTGAGAAAAAGCTGATGTACGATGGCCTTACAAATGAAAAATTGACCAGGCCAATCCGCAACAACAGGAATTATGTAGTTGGAAAGATACCCTTGCATTAATTCTTGATCATGTACAATTCGAAGTGCATTTGTATAATTCTCTACACTTTTCAAATTGCCTTCGACAAAATCGAAAAGAATAGTGTTCTGAATATGCCGATCACCTTTTTTTTCCACTAACCTATCATTATAACTGTGCAACGTTAGTCTCTCTATAACCTCATCATCGGTGCACTTATCTGTATAGCCCAGTCTATGCTCGTTATAAGGAATACCAAGGTTTATGATGAACTGTTCATTAAGATGTTTCATAATTAGCTTATCACAATAATTCTTGGGTTAAGTGCTCCATTATGTGGAATTGCTGATATGGGACATGGGTTTGCTATTATGGTTGCCATATGTGCTGGACGAGACATATTAGTAGAGTCGGCCTGCCGTGAAATGTGAATATTGTGGTAATCATCAATATTCAGCACAAAAGCATTGCCTGAATTTTTTAAAAGAGAATTTTCCACGTATTTCTCATGGGCGTCGGCAACTCTTTTCTTTCTTTGATCCACTGCTCTTGATGTTGTAGTAACACTGAGATTTGCCAACGTATCTAAGCCTTCATTACTCGTACCTACAGAATCCAAATAAAACGCTATATCAAACTTAAAGGAGTTAATTTTTGAATTATTTAACGACGCAAGAAAATAACAAATGTGAATGATTAATTTCTTCATACGATCCATGGTTTTCTCACCGCGCTCAAGTGGCCTAGCTACTAAATAAAGTTGATCAAGAAAATTTTCCAAACACTTATTTGTTTGAAATACCTCCTGCAATTCTTCATACGAATAAATAGGATCTTCCTTCTTTACATGCTCTCTTTCGTAAAAAATTCTCGTCATGGCTTCAATAGTCCCAACGAGGTCAATCATACTTGCCTCCTCCATATCTTCCATTGTAGTTCCTACATCTTTATATGTAACGTTTACTTCTTCTCTAGCTATAGCTTCAACTTCTCCACTTGAGATTCTTACCCGTTTGGCTTCTCTTCGTAGTCTTTGTAATGGATTTTCTACAAAATTCATATAACAATTATGACATAACTTACCGCCTTTCACCCATTTTTCCTCAGTTAAATTATTATTTTCCGCTTCCTCCCATTTTTTGTCCTTTAAAGAGCGAAATACAGTTGGTCCAGTGGTTTCGCAATTCATGCAATGCTTAGAGTCGGTCATTGTTTTACCGAGCAAATTTAATATGAGGGTCAAATGATTTAGAATGATTTAGCCAATTTTCTTATAGTACGGCACGAAAACTTCAAGTTTTACTTAATGCGCTTTGTGGGTTCACAGAAGAGTTAAGCCACCCAAACTTCCGAAAAAAGTATTGTAAAACGTATAAAAAAAAATCTTTTATTAATTGTGTAATGATCTACAGATCGGAGCACTCGGGACATTCTTACCTCGACATAACATAGTCGACTAAGTCGATTTTTAAAAAATCAGCTGATTACAAACTCATAGGAGGACATTTGTCTAATTGGCTGATGTAAATCAATTGACCGGGAACTTATTTATACACTTTAAAATACTTTTTGAAAACGCAACGTTTCACTACAGCACTAATAAAAAATCACTGCAAAAGCCATTTTTCGCTTCGTAAGAACGTTTATATTCACTATACAAAAATAATCAAAAATAATCAGTAACTACAAGAACTTCACTTAGAAGCGAATTTTCCTATATATTATATAATAGTTATTATATATAACTATATATAAGTGCTATATATGGTTGAATTCCAAAAAACGAAGGTGGACAAGAGGCTCTAATATAAGTTTCAGTAAAGAGCTTTGTATTTACCTTTTAACTATACTACTATTAAGCTAATAACAGATCTTAATTTCTTTTATATATTACAGAGATTACTTTGTTGGATCTTTAGATCTCGTCGCATTCTTACACACGAACCAAAATGTGAAATTAATACAATAAAACCTTTATAAGTGCATGCTCTTGGGACTAGGCTTTAACAATGTGCGCTATAGATCAATAAAAGAAAGTGCATTTATAGGGACATGTATATATTTGGGTCAGAATTTGAGCGTGTATTTAGAGGAAGGTGCACTTATAGAGGGTGCACTCATGGAGGTTTTACTGTATATTGAATTTTTTTTTTACTTTTTATATTTATTTATTTATTTATTTTTGTAATTTATTTTGTAATTTATTTATTTATTTTGTAAAGTTAATAAAATTACAATAAAGATTCAAAATTTTATATAATACAAATTATTGACATTGAAATTTTTGTAATGCCTTCTCTAATGAAAGTGATTTATAATTTACTGGTTCAACTTCACCATCATCATCACAAGGAGTACTCTTTTCTAATTCTTCAGCAATTACTTTTTTTCCCTTATTTTTTTTCTTTTTATTGTCTAAATTTCGTAACCTTTCTAGTAAGAACTGAACATGTTCATCAACACCATCTTGCAAGAATGAGAAGCAATGCAAGCATTTAGATCCATTGTGGTCATAACAGAATTTATAATATGTATGACCACAGGTTAGAACTTCTATAATGCCTATATTAACAGAAAAAGAGAGACAATTAGACGTATCACAGTAGCGATACAAATCTGGTTTACACGAAGCACTAAAACCCAAAAGGAGATGGCATAGTCATGCTTATGGCATTTTCATCGCTATTAGTGGAATAGCTTCAATATTTTCATCACGCTTTCTTTTGGAAGATGAACTTATCTGT